GGGATTGTTTTGAATCTATAGATCAGTTTGAGAATTATTGACATCTTAACAATATTAAATTTTCCAAGTCAGAAACACAGGATGTTTTTTTCTTTATTCAGGACTTTTTAATATCTTTCACCAATCCATTGTAATTTCCAGTGTACAGGTCATTATTTTCTTAAGTGTACAATTCGGTGGCTTTTAGTATATTCACCACTATCTAGTTTCAGAACATTTTTATACTCAACAAATAACCGTAGTCTCTTCTCTCCCCAGCTTTGGCAACTACTAATCTACTTTCTGTCTCTGTAGATTTGCCTATTTTAGACATTTCTTGTAAGTAGAACCATGCAATATGTGGCCTTTTGTATCTGGCCTCTTTTATTTAACACAATGCTCTCAGGGTTCATCCATGTTTTTGTGTGAATAAGTACTTCATTCCATTTTATGGCTGAACAATATTCCATTGTATGGCTGTGTCTATACTGCATTTTGTTTATCCATTCATCACTTGATGGACATTTGGATTACTTCCTCTTTTGGATATTATCAGCGATGCTGCTATGAACATATATGTGTGAGTTTTTGTGTGAATATATATGCTTTTATTTATCTAGGGCATATGATTAGGAGTAGAATAACTCTACATTTAACATTTTGAGAAACTGCCAGATTATATTCCAAAGCAGCTGTACCATACCCTTTTACATTCCCACCAGCTACGTGTGAGGTTTCTAATTTCTTCATCTTTGTCAGCACATGTTATTACCAGTCTTCCTAATGATAGCCGTCCTAGTGGATGCCAAGTGGTGTTTCATTATGGTTTTAATTTGCATTTACCTAATGATATGGAGCGTCTTTTCAAGTGCCTATTGGCCATTTATATATCTTCCTGCGAGAAATGCCTATTAGGATCCTTTGACCTTTTTAAATTGGTTTGTCTTTTTATTGTTGAGTTGTAAGAGTTTATATATCCGGATACTAGATCCTTATCAAAAACAGTTGGAAGTCTTCGTGTCATACTCTAATAAACATAATAACCAGACACTGTTATCAATAAGTTATAGTAAAATCTTAACCAGAAAGCATAGAAAATGAGATATCCATAGTGGGATTTGTTGTTAATGAAGAGTCAAATAACAAAGTTTGTTACAGAAAACCATTTTAAAGTATAGTATTATACTTCCCTTACATAGTAAAGATAGTATGTGAACCTATTTATATCTCTTAGAAGCTTATGGCCTTTTAAGAAGATAACAGAATGATGATTTTGTGAAAATACTTATGGTTAGATGGTTTTATACCCAGGCCATATGGGGAAAGTTACTTCTGTATCTCTAATAACTTATTTCCTTTATAATTTACTCTTTCTTCCTGCAAGTTAGGTAATACTGTATAGTGTTTGTTTAAGTTCTGGTGAATTTAGCATCTTCATTAGTTGATTTCTCGTTACTCTCTCACAGTAAATCTTAATAGTACCTTATCATTGCAGGAACATTTGACAATGTAAAATAATTTCAGATTTCAACAAAGGATGTTTGAAAACAACAAAGAAGCACAGTTAAAACAATTAATAGAATTACAATTCTATTCTGATAGCAAGATACAGAAAGAATAAGAAATTCTTACAGGATCCAGTGGCCTGAATTTTGAAGCATGAGTCTCAGGTTTAGCAATTACAATTGTTTTAAAGTTCAGTGAAATCGTTTTGAAAGTATTAGGCCCAAGCCAAAATTGAAACATAATTTAAATGAGTTCTGTAGTGGTCTAATAGCTGAATCAGGAAAATCATTATTATGAATGGAGACAACAGTGTCTCACATTCTCTAGTCAATGAGGAGTCTGTTTTGTGTTTGTGTTTTAAGATTTGGAAAGTTAGCAAGTTAAGCAAACACGTAATAAATTAGTAAATAAATAGACTAGGACATTTAGTTTTTCACATCATTCTAAAGTATATTATAAAGTTTATGCAAAATTATAAAGGATCCAGAGGTCCTTTAATCTTCTACAAGTGCTACTTTAAGCTACAGTGAATTTTTTTCTCTTGAATTTTTAAGAAAATTTGTTTCCTCCAAACAGTAAGTGGAATAATAGAGAATTGAAATTGGGTTTAGGAAAAAACATGTGTGAAGAGGCAAACTGATGAGTATATGATAATGAATTTTACTCTTTCGATACATAACTATCTTACTTGCATTTGCCTTTGTGGTACAACTATTAAAACANAATATATATATATACATATATATAAAGAATATATATATAGAATTTATATATATATATATATACACACACATATATACATATATATAAAGAATATATATATATACATATATATAAAGAATATATATATATATATAAAGAATATATATATATATATATATATATATGGCTAAGAGCAAGTCAAAGAGTTTACTGCCTATGTTTTCTAGGAGTTTTATGGTTTCAGGTTTTACATTTCAGTCTTTAATAATCCATTTTGAGTTTATTCTTGTATGTGGTATAAGAAAGTGATCCAGTTTCATTCTTTTGCATGTTTCTGTCCAGTTTTTCCAACATCATTTATTAAATAGACTGGTTTTACCCCACTGTATGTTCCTGCCTCCTTTGTCATAGATGAATCAATCAGGTAGGAGTGGGTTTGTATCTGGGCTCTCTATTCTGTTCCATTGATCTCTGTGTCTGTTTTTGTGCCAGTAGCATGCTGTTTTGATTACTATAGCTTTGTAGTATAGTTTGATATCAGATAATATGATGCCTCCAACTTTGTTCTTTCTCAAGATAGCTTTGGCTATTTGGGGTCTTTTATGTTTCCATATATATATTTTAGGATTATTTCTTCCAGTTCTGTGAAAAATGTCATTCGAATTTTGGTAGGGATTGCATTGAGTCTGTAAATTGCTTTGGGTAGTATGAACATTTTAACAACATTAATTCTTCCTATCCATGAGGACGGTATATGTTCAGCCTAATTACTTGCTATTCTCATATGTTGACTTTTGCTTGTTGCCATAATTTCTGTCTTCCCAATACAGTGCTCATAAGATCACTAATGATGATCTAGCTCATATCATTAGGATGAGTTAGTTTTGATTGCACTAGTTGTAGCCTCAGAGAGTGGAATTTCCTTTTAGTTTTCTTTTTTCAGGATGCTCAGAAATAATGGAGTTTTCCCTAAGAATTTTAGATATTCCAGTAATAATACCTTGTACCTTGGGGAATTTAGGACTAAATAAGAGTGTCTATAAAATTATGTCTGGCATATACATACTCAAATCATGTTAGCTGCTAGTATGATATTTCAATGTGTTTTGGCAGGAATTTAGCATTTAATGCTATAATATATATTTTTTTCACATCCAGAATGCATTTATATGCTTCCCATTTTGTTGTATTTTATATTTGAACATTTAAAGTATAATTCCTATTTTGAACATATGACAAAGGTTCTGCAATCCTAATGGATCATTAACACTAAATAGCCTACTAAAAAAAGAATTTTAAATCTTATTGAAAGGAATTTTAAGGTTCCCAATAGGTGTGACCCCTGTGGTCAGACTATAATCAACTACCTTTTAATAACAAGTACAAATATTATTAAAATTGTACACAGGTTAGTAACATTTGTATTATTGATATGTTTTCTTCCCTTGCAACATAATTGTGGTATAAATAGTGTTTCCAAAGGGCGAAATATCATATAAAAGTACATTTATCTGGTGTTTTCAATTACACACTTTTTATAGTACTGCATTTTTT